ATCTGTTATGCGAAGTAGATAGATAAAGTTTTTTTTTTCGCTTCTTTTGAGGAAAAAGTCCGGATCGCGTAAATCGGGGTATTTTTTAAAATCTTTAATTTCTCCAGAGCACGTTAAAACGACCGCGTTCAAGTCAGACAATATGGATAGAATATCATCATATTTACTCTTACGATAATCATATTTAGTTATATAGTTAAAAAATAAATAGTTTGGAAAACTGGCGGTGCCTTTGAAGAAGTTTTTCTCAGCAGCAGTAGACACGTGTTCGTCATGAAGCATTACGACATGGTTAACACATGAGAGAAATGCAGAATACACAGCTAGTCTGTCTGAGGCTGGACAACAAAACAAATAATCGACGCAGAATAGAATAAACTCCTTTTGTGCACTAGACAAATCTTCGACAGAAGGCGTCCTAGTGAAATTGTAATTTGTGAGACCTTCTTTCTCTCCGACATAACGTAGATGATCAAAAACAATGCCGACAGCATCTGATGACAACTCACAAACGAATTTTAGAACTTCAGCCATCTTCATTGATTTTTCAAACGTATCCATTCTTGACAGGCAGGTGACAGTTTCATTCTTCTTAACCTTCACTTCTTGAACGATGAACCAAGCGGCAAGAAACTCCTGAACGGACTTGTGAAGAAAAGACACGATCTTCTCACGGTTCAAAGCAGAAAGTTTGGAAACTTGAAAAAAACCGACATGAATAAGCTTCTCGAACAGATCACCTTTAGGAAATTTACTGAAGTTAAAATGAAGGCAGTCCTCCAAAAGAGCATCAAAGGCAAGTTTTCCTATTTTGGAAAGTTCCTCTTGATATTCATCTATGCTTTTATCTGTTGCGACGTTGTCTGAGTCTTTAATAGCCATATGATCCAAGAGAGTCTGAATAAATTCTACGTAAATTTCCGCACGAGATGTTGGTAATTGAGGTTTTTTCTTCTTCCACAGAAGACACAACATCAACAATAATAGCGGAATCTCTGCCATCTCCTCGAGGTCATGCTTTCTTAGGTATTCAAGTAGCCCTTTAACGTCCTCCTCATCAGGAAGAATCTTTCTTGCAAACTGTTTCTTCTGTTCCCAGCTATCGAACCCGTTAAGTTCAAACTGGGCGTGACTTGGCACTCTAAGCTCATCCTCTTTCACTGGCCGCGTTGTGATCATTACACAACAGTCTCTCAGTTGACTGCCTCTCCAAATCTGGTGAATTAGGGATGATTTTCCACCGCTGTACTCATCATATCCATCCAAAATGAGCAGCACTTTCTCCTGGTTCTGACGGACATATTCACACAAGTTATTGACTGCCATCGGGTCATCAGCAGACAACAGTTCCGCTGTTTTTAACATGGTACAGAGGTCCGAAATACCACAAACGTCTCGTAACCTGATTAACAGTAAAAGATTGAACTTTTCGAGGATCTTCTTTCTGCCATTTGCCCAATCCACAGCTACTTTTTGAGTGAAAGTAGACTTTCCTATTCCAGGTCTTCCATACACCAGAATTCGTCTACGGATGGGATGATCTTCGTCACCTTCAAATACTTCACTGCTGTCTCCCAGCTTTTTTTTCGTTGTCCCGTCAGGTTTCCTGTGGTCTTGTAAAAACGTTACTTGTATGTAAATGCTATTAATGTGTACCGTGTTGTCTGGGTCCCATGGTGTTATTTTCACTTGACACATGGTGTTGTAAAACGCCCTCAACTGATTCCGGCACCATTCCCAAAATTCTGTTACAGACGAGTCTGTAGACAAAAAACAAGTAGCTTGGTAAAAATTCTCTTTCTCCCCCATCGAAAAGAAAATCACTCGAGAAGGGTTTTTGAACAATAAGGAGAATAATTCTTTCCATCTGTAATTTGTAACTTTGACGACGTCACTCTTTAATTCCGAAGGTAAATATTCACATTTTCACTATCTGATCACTAAGGTGTTTTTTTTTTTGTTTTTGTTTTCGTTTTTTTTTCTTTTGTTTTGTTTTGGGGGGGGGGGGGGGAAGGCGGAGGTTGGGGGGTTCGATTTGCCCCTAATTCACGAGTACAGTCTTCGATCGTCCCGTGAAGGAGAGAAGCGTGGGCTCATTTCACGAACAGCGGCTGGTAATCGAGGCTATTGTTTGCTCCGCTACACAAAAATCTTAAGAAATATATTGATTTGTTCTGTGGCAAGTGAAATTATTATTAAGACAAACATTAGGGAAAATTTCAAATATTGTAATAACTATGAGTTTCTAATACTGAAATTTCGAGCATTAGCCCCTCGTTGGACCGATCGGGTTGTGTTTGGTTTATAAAATGGGGCTTGGGCTAAAAGGAGGGGAGGGGTAAGGCGGGAGATTCTAGGTGTCTTATGAGTATGTTGCAGCTGAGCCCTCCCTCTCTTGCTAATGTAATAACCTTTTGAAGATTTTTTCAGACCATTTTATATTTTCATTGTTAAACGCCGTTAATCTTGCTTCCACAATTTCGAGATGACGCCCGACTGTCTTCCATTTTTCGAGTTTCTGCGAAAGCCTCTCTAAATCTTCGTCGCTGGTAACTCCTTGCAGCGAAGTATCAAGAGGAGAGGATAGCGAGTAGTAGGTATTGCATCTATTCATGCCATTTTGCTGGATCCACGCATTTTTATTTTACAAAGGCAGGGGGAAGGAAGATGGGGTTGGGGGGTGGGGGTTAACGGGCACGCCCATAGACATGTCCTCATTTTACCTCTTTTCTTTGGAGTCAAGGCGTCACTCGGAGACGACTCTTCATAACGGCGTTTCACCTTTGGCGGAGGCAAATGTTTAGTAGAACCACCTGCATGATAACAAATGTAAAAAGATAATTAGACCAGAACATATTATTTGAGCCAACAGATTTATTGTGGCAATGGAGCTTTTTCCTTTCCTAATAAAACGTCTCCTGATGAATTTATTTCAAGGCCAATTCGTACCACTGCATTGTGCAACCCTACTTTGCATCATTTAACACAAAAATATACACGCCCACATACGCGACCAGAAGATTTCTTGCTCTTTTTGTTTCAGCCAGTAAGAAAAATTGTCATCGCCACGTAAACGGATTTGGTGACCTACCATTTATATCTCTACTTTGCGATCGAGCGAAAAGCTCTAAAAAACTCTTTTCCATACAATAAGCAGCTTGGGTAAGGCCACTCTAAATCTTCGTCACTAGGAACTCCTTGCTTGACAACAAAAATAAAGACATCACAGCAAAGCATCAAGATGAGGGGATAGCGAGTAGTACGTATTGCATCTATTCATGCCATTTTGCTGGATCCACGTATATTTATTTTACAAAGGCAGGGGGAAGGAAGATGGGGTTGGGGGGTGGGGGTTAACGGGCACGCCCATAGACATGTCCTCATTTTACCTCTTTTCTTTGGAGTCAAGGCGTCACTCGCAGACGACTCTTCATAACGGCGTTTCACCTTTGGCGGAGGCAAATGTTTACTAGAACCACCTGCATGATAACAAATGTAAAAAGATAATTAGACCAGAACATATTTTTTGAGCCAACAGATTTTTTGTGGCAATGGAGCTTTTTCCTTTCATAATTAAACGTCTCCTGATGAATTTGTTTCAAGACCACTTCGTGCCACTGCATTATGCAATCCTACTTTGCATCATTTAACACAAAAATATACACGCTTACATACACGACCAAAGATTTCTTGTTCTTTTTTTTTCCAGCCAATAAGAAAAATTGTCATCGCCACGAAAACGGATTTGGTGACCTACCGTTTATATCTCTACTTTGCGATCGAGCAAAAAGCTCTAAAATACTCTTTTCCATACAATAAGCAGCTTGGCTAAGGCCACTCTAAATCTTCGTCACTAAGAACTCCTTGCTTGAGTAGTACGTACTGCAACTATTCATGCCATTTTTCTGGAGCCACGCATATTTATTTTACAAAGGCGGGGGAAGGAAGATGGGGTGCTGGGGGTTAAGCACGCCCATAGACTGTGGGGCATATGCAAGGCGTCTGCAGACGACTCTTCATCACGGCACCTTTGGCGGAGGCAAATGTTTACTAAAATAACAAATGTAAAAAGATTGGGGAGAAAAATTTTTTGAGCCAACAGATTTTTTGTGGCAATGGGCTGGGGAATTTGTTTCAAGACCTTGGCCACTGCTTATGCAATCCTTTTAACACAAAAATATACACGGACAGACCAAAGGTTTTTTTTTTTCCAGGCTGGGGGAAGAATTCTGGGGCCTTAAAAAGCTCTTATGGGGGAAGGCCACTCTAAATCTTCGTCACTAAGAACTCCTTGCTTGAGTAGTACGTACTGCAACTATTCATGCCATTTTTCTGGAGCCACGCATATTTATTTTACAAAGGCTGGGGGAAGAAAGGTGGGGCTGGGGGAAGAAAGGTGGGGTTGGGGGGTGGGGGTCAGCGGGCACGCCCATAGATATGTCCTCATTTTACCTGCAAAATGAGTTTCTCCTTTCTTTTGAGTTAACGCGTCCTTTGGAGACGACTCTTCCTCACGGCGCTTCACCTCTGGCCGAGGCAAATGTTTAGTACAACCACCTGCATGATAACAAATGTAAAAATAAAAAAAAAAGATTAGACCAGATTTTTTAAGCCTACAGATTCATTGTAGCAATGGGGCTATTTCCTTTCCACATGAAACATCTCCTAAGGAATTTGGTTTCGAGGCCAATTCGTGCCATTGTATTATGCATCCTACTGTGCATCATTTTACATGAAATATGCACGCCCATCTACGCGAACGGAAGATTTCTTGTTTTTTTTTTTTCTGCCAGGAAGAAAAATTGTCGTAAACGGATTTGGTGACCTACCATTTACATCTCCTGTTTGCAATCGAGCGAGAAGCTTGAAAAGGTATTTTCCTTTCAATAAACAACTTTGGGAAAAAAGAGAGACATTCCCTAACATGAAAACTTGCAAGGGCACTTGTGGCACATGCACATGCACACTTGTATCGCATTCTTAACAAATATAAGGCAGGAGTTTTTAGGTGTATTATTTGGGGGTTGGTTGTCTTCTTCTCAGAGAGAAAATGCTATGAAAAGCTTGAAAGAATCTCAAACATAGGCAGAGTCTGTGAAATTGCTGACAAACATGTAACCTTTCTGATCCAAGAGCTGTTCTGATCAGTCAGTGCATGATCATAGGTCATTATTCATGTTTTTAACTCAGTTTTGGTAATTCGGTTCCAGCACATTCATAAGAGGCAAAAATAAACAGCATACAAGACTATCTAGTGACTGAGAGCAAATATACTGTAGGCCTAAAAAAGATAAAAGTTGATCTGTTTGCCTTTGTAATGTGGCCAATCTTCAAAAATACTGCTCTGGTTTAGAATGCTGACAACAAGAGAAGCTGCTGTTACACTTGCAAATGTTTGCCAGTTTTCTTTCTCTTCAGCTCCATCTGCATACCCTGAAATACCCTTGACAACAACCCACTCCATTTTCAGTTCATGTGCTGCACTGAAAACTCCTGAAACATACAATAACAAGCTATTGTGAATAAAACGACAAATTTTCTCCAAAATCTATTGATTTTAACCCCTCCTATTGTTACTATTGTTATCATAGATTTGTAAGTAACGGGTGATATGTTTTGGAAAGTCACTTTACATATACTAGGTGCAAAGCTAGTCCATGTAGCACGAGCTTCTCCCAGGTCCCATACCATTCAGCCACTTAGACTGTACTCTTACTCCCTCCACATGTATATGAAATATTGGTCAGTTCATCAGTAGCCATCTATACTCCTGGGTGTGGAGACACACTGTGAGAGTAAAGCATCCCAGCCAAGACTATAACAGTCAATCACTTTAGCCCAGGGCTTGAACCCAGACCTTTTAATCTGACGTCCAGTATGTTCAGACACAAGCCAGTGCATCTCTCGACACTGGTAGAAAAGCTTACCCACCACATAAGTATCAACTTTCTCTCCCAGAAAACAAATGTACCCAAATATCTCTTTGAGCAGATTTTACAGTAACAGTTACTTCAAAGGAAAAAGAGATCTTACCCTCTCCTTCTGTTTCAATTGCAATTGCTTCAGGAAATGACTTCACTAATTCATCTCGTCGCCACTCAGCTTGTACGAGCTCAGAACCACTCAAAACCTCACCACAGTGGACTTCAACTTTCCTTTTGTTAGGGTTCTCTAAGGGTGGATTCCAACCATAACCTGCACATTTGATGAGGTCAGCAATGTCTCTGCTTACAGGAGTTATGAACCCATGAAACTTCTTTCCATCCTGTGTAACCTTCTGATAGGAATAGGTTGTGAGTTTTTCTGATACAACCACATCCCCCAGCTTTGTTGATTCCTGATTCATACCAACACAGTGGCCCACAGAAAAGACAGCTTTTGGCCTCAGCTGAGTGACAGCATTCTTTACAACAGTCAAAGCACCACCAGGAACTTTAGAACCCTCTGTGCATTTCATCAAAGCAACTTTCAGTTTAACATCTTGATCATCACCAATGCTTCCAAAGTATACATGACCAAGCCCTTTAAAATAGCTTCTGAATGGATCAACAATGTAATAGTAGCAACTTAAGAACTCACAGTCCTTCACTGTTAACAACAGAATGTCAATTGGGAGTTGAACATCCCTCCAGTGTTTAGAATTCTGGGTTAGTTCACTTATCCCTGGAAGACTAATACTGATCTTTGGTGGGTCACCATAAATGTTCTTTGAACTGTTCTTCTCAGTTCTTGCAGTTTCTGACATATTGCCAATCAGCTTCTGAAAATAAAAGCAACAAAGAAACATGTAAAAACTAGAGTTTAATTTGATTGAATTCACCATATTTAAGCCTGGACACAATAAATATCCTCCAGTCCTGTCCATTTAATCAATGTTTAATTGATGCAACTGTAGAAGTTAAGGTTAATTTATTTCAGAACAGAATTCTATCAAGGACAATCTGCTTCACTGCAGAAATCCACAAAGACAATCATTTTTAAAATCATCAGTCATAATAACTGAAAAATACAAAATCAATCACAGTGAGTGTCAAAGCCAAAATACAAATATAGATTTGTGTTTTTATATGACCTTGTACCATATAAATGTAAAATCCCTGGAAGTTTTATGAATAATCACATCTGATGGCAAACATCAAAGAAAACTGGACACATCTCCAGTTTGTACAATTAAGCTTATACTATACTTAGATCAAAATATATGATAAAGAATATCAACCTAAGGTCTTGTCTCAAGCCTGATGCTCAGAGGTTGCATAAAATTTATTTTTAAGTTTAAGATCCTTTTCTTAAAGGCAGCCAGTTCTATGTTTCACACTTTTTGAAACAATATATTCTTATCAAAGCACTAAGTGATAATTTTAAGTTTTTTTAATGTGTTTGGATGGTGACACTGATTTATTTACCATGAGTGACAAAGGAAACAGAATAGTGTGTAGCACAATTCCAGCTTGAGTGTCGAACACTGCGATGGTCCTTAACCAACTACTGATACTGATTCATTTTTGATAAGTGACAAAGGAGACAGGACAGTGTGTGTAGCTTTAACCATTTCTGCTGCCCAAGCATATGATGGTCTTTAATTAGCCACTGATACTAATTTATTTTTGATTAATGAAAAGTAAACAGTATAGTGTGTGTAGAATTATTCCCACAGCCTATGCATATGACAGTCTTTAATCAGCAAGTCATTACACCTGTTCAAATCAGTCTGAAAGGTAATCAGGTGGAGGATTGGACCTTTTTGAAAGAGAGAACTTGAAAAAAAGTTTAACAAATAATTCTCAGAACAGTGCTGTGAGAAAGGAAACCTACCAAAAAGCTAAAAATTTACTAGTTGGGTGATCACATAGAACCCAACAGTTTCCATTGTTGAGCACTGCTTATTTCACAGTGTCAAACATGAAGATGGGAAAATTGACACCAAAAACAGGCAACAAAAATTGGCATCTGGTTGCTTAATGTGTATTAAACAATGAACTGATCTTCTGCATATTGGTAACAGGAATAAAGAGCTGTGAAGTCAGAAAGTGAATCAAAGCATTAACACTTGATGAGGCAACTGATAGAACCAGAGCTGGAAAAATATACACCATTGAGCTGAAGGACATAGGGAACTGTAGAAACACCTTAAGTACAGTCCAGAATGGAAAAAAGAAATCTGACACTATGCAAAAGGTACCAATGCTGAGACTGTGGAAATCCCATGAAACAATGCACATTAATTTCCTGCCTCTGGAAAAAATGTAGCAAGTGTCGCAAAAAGAATTATTTGTTACAATATGCACATCCCTTGTCAGTAATGGAGGAGATAAGATCACAAGGGAAATTTTTAACAAGGAACTGTGTCAAAGAAATCTGCCAGGACTTTCAATCAAGTTGACGACTCCAAATCAGATGATGAGCTATATATATCCCATATACTCAGGAGCAGACAGTGATCATACCAAACACCTGGTGGACCCTCAGCTAAGGGAAGGTGAGAGCTGTGAGTGGCCAGCAAAACTATGCAAACAGATTGTAGCTCAGAGGCCAACTGACTAATTATGGAAGATTATAAAAAGCATTAAAAACAGATCAAGCCCGGAGAACATCCAAGCTATCTTAAAACCCACCAGTAAACTTTGCTCCATGCATGTATGTTTAAGTTTTAGTGTGAAATTGACATCACTTAATGGGTTCAAAATTGTGAAAAATCAGCCATAAATTGCTCTGAAATAAAAGAATGAAGTTCTGTTTACTAGTAGTAAGGCTACTTCTAGCTTTTTTTTAAGAGTGCTACAGAAACAGCTTAACCTCAATCAAGTCAGCAGGAAATTGAAATGGTTTACTTGAGCATAACATTATCGATCATGATATATTAAAGTTAATAAAACACCTACATTGTTTATTTGTTGTGATTGTTGAGAATGATTAGCATTGAAAATCAGTTTAAATCTGAACCATTTCATCATCAACAACAGTAGGTATAAATTTTGACCTCCAAAATGGTTTTTTTGGATTCAATCCTCATGTTCCTCATCACTTATTTTTTTTTTGCCCTGTGGCAATTCCAGAAATCTTTGTGTGAACACAACGATCTGATTACTGGCAACTCTTTCATTGGCCACCTCAAAATAAGTGGAACAAAATCCAAGTACACAAAAGCTAGGTTTTGTTTTGATTCTGTGAATTGTCTGTAATGTACCCTTATATATTGATTTCCTGAATGTTCTTACCTTACTATGCTATGTCATGCTAATACTTGTTTATGATTAAAATAGAATATGATGTTATCATACAGAATGTTGAGAATGTTAACCATTTTACTGGTGTACAATGTATCCCTACACATGTACATGTACTGTGCAATGGAGCTCAAATCAAGTAGTTGTGGTTATCAGTTGATATACAGTGTTGCAGACTGGTAGCTGTGTTGCTGGCTGAAGGTCTATTTATTATTATTATTATTATTATTATTATTATTATTATTATTATCTTTATCTCTATTTTTCTATGAATAAATTTATATCTATTTCAATTAGGCATACAAGATATACACTCACTTTTCAAGTTGCTTCTCCTGTGGTAGCAGTAGTTGACTCAAACTCTCAGGTACTTGCTGTTGCTGTATTGAATCAATAATACCATCCACCAGATAAACCACTGACCCAGTAGATTGTGTGGCAGGTTGCATTCACAACAAGCTACTGGGAAGTGATTAATCTGGTGGACAGAAAAAAATTCAACCAGCTGCTGGAAAAATAGCTGTTCTATGCCGAAATCACAGTTAAAGTTCTGGCTGTTCAGTCAGTCAAGAATCAGAACACCTGCAGCTGTTGGAATGGAACTTAACCCCAATTCAAAATATTCTGGAACTCAGCTGCAAGGAAGTAAAACACATATGGATCAATTATCATTATTTATACAATAAACTGAATTGTACACTGTCAATGCTACTGAAACTGACTGTTTAGTACTAGAATGTTAATGTTAGTAATGCTCGCAGGTATCTATTTAAGGTTTTCTCAGTATTCTTCATGTAAACCAGCACTCAGAAATGCAGAAATGAATCCATAATGTATTGCTTCAACTTCTAACACTGGTTCTCAGTTAGGTGTCAAGGTCTTTGAAACTTTTTCTCTTGCAATTGAAGAGAACATTTTTTAGGAAGCATTGAGTCTTACATTGTATCAAACAAATAATTTGCTTCAAATGGTGACTGAATTCAATTGTTTAATTGACACTTGGTGCCCATATAAAAAAGTTAATTCTAGACCCTGATTTAACCCTTTACACCCTAACATCAGTATGCATATTCTCCATACTGTTCTCTTTACAATCCCTGATGTCCTAGCAAGGGGAATTTGTTTAACAATCAAGAGTTTTTCAATTTATTATCACTTCCTTTATTCTCATGACCTTATAATGTTGGATTCAGGGATGATACTGAAAGGAGAAATTAGATGCTAGTCACTCTTAGGGATTAAAGGGTTAACACTGAAATACAAAAAGAAGCAAGAGAGCATTTCAAAGTGGCTCAGATTAGTAACAAGAAGCTTCTAGGCACCGGAAATAATACTGATCTTTACTATACTCTGACAAACTTTCAAGTCCACATATAAAATCAAAATCATTAAAGCAGTAAATTAAAATAAAATAAACACCATACAGAGGTAAGAGACTGATAGAAGTGATCAAGTAACAAGTTATGCTCCCTTGCATTTGATGTAGAATGAACAAGAAATTTTAACAAAAATTGGGCAAAGCAAAGCTGTTTGAAGTGAAGCCACTGAGAGTTAATTAGAACTACAGGTGGAGTTATCTCACCATTATAGGATTCAAACTTAACTGTGATGAGTGGCACAATCACCATAACAACTTCTGTTATAACATGTATGGAAAATGTGAAAGTTGCTAGTTTGGGACAAAATCACTTCTTTAGGTCTGTTTTAAACTCACATTTACTATTACAACTGATTTATTTCAAACTATTTCATTTTTGTCGCATTTGATTCAAATTTGTATTTACCAATAATCCTTTGTGGGTGTGGTCTTTTTCACAAATAATCAATTTCGAGTTCACTCAGACACAGTAAAAAGTAAAAATAATACCATTTTGTACTACATGGAGGCTAGTATCTCCTCATTGAGATCACCTGGCACTCTAAAAACTGACTTTCTGTCTCTTTTTACAACTTGAAGATCACATCGCCATTTTTCTCTTGCAAATTCAATTCTCTTATTGCAATTCTTTTCATTATAATTTAGATTCTTTAGCCTATTCTTTTCCTGCTTTTTCCTCCTCCACTCTTTGATCCTCGAAAGCTTTTCTTCCTTTTCGTTAGCCATACCTCTTTTCCAGCGCACTTGAAGCGATATTTACAAATTGCTCAATCCCAGAAAAACTAATGACCTTGAACACCCTGAAACCTTGATAATGTCGCAGAAACCCACAAAACAGGAAAGGTGACCGAGCTGTTTTCAACACGGAGATGAAAAGATGAAAGCGAAAATGGCAGAGCAAACAGCAGATCTCATAGTGCTTTTGGTGGCAATGGTGGCAAGACTCTATTCTCAGTATATGGCGTCAACATGGTAAAAAGTGTAGCGACTTGGTCAAAAGTGAATATTTTGGCTGTTTCTAAAGATATGGACACGAAAACTTGGAAATGACAAGGGAAACTTATGAGCATTGAAGTGCAATCAATTTCGAAACCCAACTTTGCCATGTTTGAAGTATTTAGTGGCGAAGGAGAAGGTAAGTTGATGAAAAATATTATTGCATAACCAGATTTTAGAAAACCGTAGCGATCTGTTTTACACTGATATTTCTCTGTTTATAGTCAATCTTTAGACCGATTTTTCACTATTTTAGAACACCAAGTATAAGCATTTGGTTGATGTGTTTTTGTTCCCACAGGATTCCAGTTTAGTCAATCTGTGGACAACAACTTGGTATACTTCCAAATTCTGAAACTCAGCGTTACACAAAGGATATTCCAATGTCCTAAAGGCAAACGGCTATACAAAAACTTTTCTCCGTAACTGCCAAAAACCAGTTACAAATAGTAACGCTCTTGATGAAAGGGAACCAGCGACTGGTTTTGCTGTTATTCCTTACATACAGGGTGTTACTGAACCCATCAAGAGAATTTTGAATAGCCACAACGTTAAAGTTGCTCAAAAACCTTTTCAGACTTTGGGGCATATTTTCGCCAAACCTAAGGATCCTGTCACGAAAGAACAACGAACCGACGCCATTTATTCTATTCCTTGCAATGACTGTGATAACGAATACATCGGACAGACCAAACGCCAGTTTGGTACACGGTTAAAAGAGCACCAAAAAGCGGTTTTTCTTTGCAAAAAGGAAAATTCAGCTTTATCGGAGCATACTTGCCTAACCAACCATACAATTGGGTGGGATAATTCTAAAATTATCACTACTAATCGGCGTTACCACCAGCGCCTTTGTTTGGAGGCTTGGCACATTAACTCCGCCCACGCTCCTTTAAATCGTGACGATGGCGGTCTGCTTCCTGACGCCTATTTACACCTCGTCAGAAAAAAAGGCCGCTAATTAGTGATCGTATAAAAGGACCTCTTGTTGCAGCGTTTAGATCACCCCTGATGAAGGCACTAGACAGGAGTGTCGAAACGTTGGGTCTATGAATTGTAACTTCTTCGGTTACATTCATTAAATCTGCAAACCAGGGTAGCTTCAAACTATGTCTGATTGTCCACCTGGTTGCCGTGTGAACTTTAATATATTTTAGCTGTTGTACAACTTCAACTTGGTTAAATGAAATTTACATAACGAACTGTTTTACAAGTTCAGAGCCGAGCTGAAAGGAGGAAACGCAAGGATTCTTTCGCTAAAATGTTAACTTCACTCCATCAGCCGGTTGCATGATTTCACGAGGGAACTCTGCATTCCACGGCCACTCAAGCTTGCCAGTCACGTGATAAGCCGCAAGCCGGAAGTGCTGAATGTTTTTAAAATATGTTTCATTGTTATTGATCACTCCTTGTAGTGGTAATAGTTTGGCTCAACATATTATAGATGACCTTTATGCCACAAAAAGAAAGAGAAATGTTCAGTGAAATACTGGAGTAAAAACATTCCGTGCCTCTTTGAGGACATGTTGAATGTTGCGTGACAAATGATGGTACTGAGTCACGGAACTTGAGTCTAGCAGACTCAACTTCACTGACAAATTTTATGAGCACATAAGGCAGGAAACGAGCGGAATTCCGTAAAGTTATTTCCGTTTTGGCAATCATCAAGATCTGCCCACTGTACCAGAGATGAGGTTCACCTCCGCATGCTGTTGTAGTACATGTATCTCAAATCAGTTAGTATACAAAACATGCATAAAGGTCTAAACTATTCTATTGGGTAAAACGTATCAAGCGGGGCTACCTTACGGTAAGAGAACGAAAATTATTCAAGCAACACGAGTATAATTACAGGGGATTGTGTATAATCGAGGGGATTGTGGTTTTTATGATTACAGTGAATAAAAACGCGTTCAGAGAATAAGGGGCCTTTCCATTTGCTAGTAAAATGTAATCGCGTGAGTTCTCTTCGCCTTGTAAAACGACACACTTTAATGGTCACAGCATATGGAAACCTCAAAATGTCCCTTGCAGCCAAGCAACTTCTCCCTAGGAGCCATCTATGTTACAGAATTTTCATCCAAAAAGGACAAGTTTTGCATTGATTTTATTGGCAACTTATTAGCTTATTTGTTAATTATAACCTTCCTTTGGGTCTTAAGCACTTTCTGCGACAGAACGAAATTGAAGAAATAAATGTACTTTGGTCAGTCATACCGATTTCACTCGTTTTTTCATTTGACTACGGATCCCAAAATTAGATAGAGGACTATAATCGTAACTCCACCTAGAAAGAAGGATGTTGTCTTAAATTTAAATCAAAGCTGGCCGATAAACGATAAAAATTCTTATTCAAAAAGATTTCAACACTTAGTCTGTGGAGCCGACAAAAAATACCTGGATCTCGCTATTATTTTGTCAAGTCTATTTATAGACTACTAGGTAAGTGGCTGACTCTTCTTATTACCGATTGCTATTTCAACTTACCCTTTACTCGAAGTTATGGAGCAACTTATCTCATCCAACATGTATTAAAGATGGCTGCGCAAATCAAAGTTCCTTTGAGAAATAAAGTCATAGTCCAAGTAATGAAAAGATTAGTTTCTACAGAATAAATGGGCGGAAATCGGTGGCCTTTCTTGTATCGTACCGGATTGAATCCAAGGAGCAAATGGACAGTAAAACTCATACATATGCTCACACAAATTTGAGAGGAAGAGTTACGTTTTTCTGCTCCCTTTTTTCGTCTCGCGTTTATAATCACTGACTCTTCAAGATATAAGAAATTAATTAAAGCACTTGCAACTTGGTATAAAACGCAAACTTAAGGAGCAGACCCGGCACACTGCAATAATAAAGGAAGCGCAACCCAACAAAATTTACACTGAACAGTTTCTCTATTTAAATACTGATGTACATATTTTCGTTACTTGTCACGCATTATTTTCAGAGGAAGTTGATAG